TGACATCGCTGGAGGCGCTGTGACCACCTCCGCACTCTCACACTTCAGATGCCGTGCTCGCGGCTGCGGCTCCTCCGACTGCCAACTTCGTCCAACCTATTCTTTACTACTTCTGTATAAAATACACTATTCCTCCTACCTGGCGTCCCAATTCTTTTCTTCCCACATGAACGGGCTTGAAGGTCGCAGCAGCAAGGGACTTTCCCAATCACTTAAGCCACTGCGATACCTTTGTGGATTTCGATGGACCCTTCTCCAACATCTTCTTAACATTCGTGGGGCCGCACTTGACTTATTTTATGCAAGCCTTCACGCCCTGGACAGCTCAAGATCATAATATTTCCGAAAGAGTTCAAAGGAAAGCCACCAAAGTAGTTAAGAGACAAAGCTCCTTGCCATATGCAACCCAACTAGCAAACCTTAATCTGTACACTTTGAGTTATAATAACATTCGCCGGGTTCTCCTAGAGAAAGTCAGCTATTGAGTTGCACTTCGAAGGCAAATGGGTAGGCCATGCCAGTAATGGTTGGATCAATTGAGGGGAGATACCGCTGGTAGGATCAAATATTGGGAAGGGGGTCTGAGTGCTGGTAATTAAGGAGGGAATGGTCTGCTGAATTGGGAAGTTATCATGACCGGAGCTCGGTGGGCTCTGAGTGGTTGATGAATTCCATATCGCTTCACGACTTTGAGACGTGTCTTCTATCGCCTGAAGCCATTCAATGAAATGGTGAGCATTGCTTGGCTTCGAGCTTACGCGCGACTCAAATAGTGAATAGACCGGGAGCGTAAGACGGACAAGACAGCGCAGGCGTCTCTAACAGCGATTGACCAAGGGCGTGCGGGGTAGGTCGTCTAGAGCGTGTATCCTAGGTTTGGCAAACGAAAGCAAGATGAGTAAGTGTATCGCAGGGGGTTAAGTAAGTTAAACCCTGGCAATTGCGATTTTCAAGCCCCAGTTCCTTAAGAGAATAGATATCATGAGAAGGTCAGAGTGGAAGGAACAATATATTCTGTACAGAAGGAATGGAGAATAGGGAGTAGGAAATTGAGGGTCAGACGACCGCACAACCGCAAGTCAGCGGTCGACGTCTGA